CCCCACCCCCAACGCTGCCCTCACCCTGGGCTAACAAGAATGGGGAAGTTTCTAAAGATCTTAAGCTTGAGGGAGTAAGGGGAAGGAATGGTTGCCAGAATCCAACCCAGAGAGCCACCAGATGGGATCTGCTGCCTTCAGTAAAGAGACTGTCACCCCATAAGGAGGGATCCTTGGAAAGAAATACCCCAATTCATTTTCCTCTCTTCCTCTGATCTCCTGCCAGTGCCTCCCGATGGCTGGACACAACTGGAATCTAGGGGCAAAGAAGACTATAGAAGCTGCCCAGAAAGGTTAGCCCCCTTGGGCACAGAACAGGGAAAAGAAAGGTGGAGAATAGATCCAAGGGATAAACAAAAATACATGTAATCTTATCTGAAGGACCTATCCCATCAAAGTTGTAAGAGATTCCGTCATTAGTGGAATTCACACAGAAGTTCATCCATTAACCTGCCTCCCCTCCTCACTCATGTCCGTCCCACCCGAGACCTTTATTACACAAAGCAAACTTTAGTCTACATTGTCTTCATGGTTGCTGCTGGGATGGGCATTGTCCAAGTTTGCCAGAACGTCCAACCCTCCCTTTGGCTGAGTTGTACCAATCTTGGGAGTTTTTACCAGAGTTGAGAACACAGACGAAAATGATGCTACCCAAATGTGCTCACCCTACAGAAGGCTACCACACTGCCAAGTCCTTCCAGAGGGCACTAGAGGGGGTAGGTCCCAGTGCCAGCTACCCACAGTACACTATTGTCCCTTTCCCAGGCTTGAGAATCTTCTTGCCTTGGCTCCTGTTTTTACATATCTTTTTACAAGTATACTAGCTCTTCTCCCCTTCCAGTGGAAACACCTTCACACATTATCTTTAGCGGATTTGGGTTTTTACAATATAAAGAGAGGGCTTCCCGAGACAGCTTCTGTTGTCAGTCTTGCAGACTGCTAACTACCAAAATCTTGGCTTTCTTCTTGGAACAAGGAAGAAAAAAATATCACAGAAACAAACCCAGTTTGTCAGAATTCTCTCTGATTCTTCCATTGCCACGTAAGTAACATGCAGCTTGATTTACATAAATCATGCTGGAAATTAAAATTGTGTTGGGGTACTAGAGCCAAAGGGGAGATTGAGACTAATCCTACCATGTAAGACAGAAACCAGAAAAAAAATATGTAAATAAAGGAAATCAGTATATAAAAAGACCGAAAAAACAGCCATGGCCTAGTCACTTATGTCACTCCCCATGTATTCTCTCTCTCTCCTCACTTTCACGTGTCTGAGCCTCTGAGTTTGATAGAAATGGAGGCATATGGGATGATAAAAGTAATCATATAGTGGCATGGCTTCAACTATGACTTTCAAACAAACTTGCCTCTCCGAATGAACGTCAGATTACTTTCTGGAGCTGGTAGCCTCACACAAGCGATACGGATAAGAGGGGAAGGAGCATCTCCGCAGAGTTGAAGAGATGGGTCTGGCTTTAGATCCTGGAAGACGTGAGTTTGAGTCTCTGTTCTCCGACCCACTAGGTCTATGACCGCTCTTCAGTTTTGGTTTCTTCATCTGTAAAATTAGGATAACAATACCAACCTTATGGAGCTGGTGCAGGGATGAGAAATGATGAAGATGAGGCCACCATTGAGTTCCTAGACTATGGTCTATACCGAATAAATGATGCTTCCTAATAGTATTCAAGTAATTGTGCCACCATCACTGCTACAGATTACAAACGAAAGAAATATCTGAGAATGTGATGGATTAAAAAAATGACCTGGACTAGAGGCAAGACCAAACGAAATTATAAGAATGGAAAAGGGCCAAAAAAAAAAAAAAAAAAAAAAAAAAAAAAAAAAAAAAAAAAAAAAAAAAAAAAAAAAAAAAAAAAAAAAAGGGAAAGGGAAAGGTCCACTGAAGGGAATAAAAAGTCTCTACCTGGGAGTATTTTTGTCTCTTCTTTCCAGTTTTTGTCTGAGTGGGGAATAGGAGGGATCCTGATCACAAAACTGACACTCAATATGAATTTGGTCCCCATCTGGAGGAATAGCCATCAATAATCCCAATTCAGCATCTTCTTGACAGACTTGTATTTCAAACAACACTGTGGCCTATTTTTGGAGGTATGTATAGCTTGCTTACAAGTGTCCGTCGTGACAGAGGTCGAGAAAGTGCCAACTAATCTTAAGGGACCAGAATACATTGAGATCAGAAACTAAGGCTAAGGTGTGCCCAGTCCTACTTGTTGAGCAGCCATAATGAATCTTATTTCCTGAGTTATAACGAGTGATGAGAGTAATGAGAGTTGAGTGATGGAGTGAAGTGTACATCACCTTCCAAGCAGATTCCTGCTCCTGTCAAATCTGGGTAATAAAATGCCAATTAAGCACATCTCCATGGGCCCTTCACAGAAGTCAAGACTCTATCCAACTCCCAAACAACCTCTTGCCCACAAAGATTGTCTTTAGAACCCTCCCAAACAGGAACACCTCAAAGTCATTTTGTCACATGATTAAATTTCTCAACATCTCAGGGTTAGATACCATGAAACCGAGATCCTTCTTGGTACAACTTCACTTGTGTTCTTTGGTTTACTCTTGTTAGAGATTAAAAAAAAAAAATAGCTGCCTACTATTTTTATACATTAATGAAATACAAATAAAATGCCATTATTCTTCTTTCGTAGGACCTGATAATGGGTTCCTTTAAAAGTCAGGTTCTGGGGCAACTGACTGGCTCATTTGCTTAAGCATCCAACTCTTGATCTTAGCCCAGGTCTTGATCTCAGAGTGGTGAGTTCAGGCCCTGTGTTGGGTTCCACGCTGGGTGTGGAGCCTACTTAAAAAATAAATAAAATAAAATAAAATAAAATAAAATAAAATAAAATAAAATAAAAGTCCAGTTCCATTCTTTAGCTTTAGGACAACATTTAATTTCATTATACTTATAGATTATGAACGTTGAATCTGAATAGAAAGTCCTAGAATTAAGATACAGGAGAATAGGCATAGCCATAGACAAACAGCATAACATATGCCTTTACTATAACATACTTCTTCATATTGACAATCATCTCAAAGACATGTTTTTAGCTTAGCAGTGTTTTTTTTTCTTCACAATGGCAAAATAATAATTACTATAATACATATAAACACATACACACAAATTATCACCCCCAACCATGGCCAAAACAAAAGTAACTTCCTCAGAAAACAAACAAAACCTCTCCACTTAATTCTTGCAATATATATATATTTTTAAAATTAGCTTAGCTGAATTTAAGTTTTTTCTATTGATACTTCATAACACTGAGTTTTTGTTTTTGTTTTTTTTTTTTTCATTTTCCATGTAACTCTCACTGTGGGGACTCCTAGTGTGGTATAACTTTACATTCTAAAACTTCAGCTTTCATCTTAAAAAACTCTAAAATTACTCCATCTTTACCAATGAAACCACTTGTTTACTTAATACTCCTTTCCATGTTAAATGGCATAAAAAGCCAAAGAGAAGAAGAAACTAGATTGAGAGCCAAGATGTTGAAAATCACTGTAAGTTGCTTAACCAGGAATACAAATAAAGTTAAGATTATTTTATGAAAACTATTTTTGACAATATATTTCATGACTCAAAGCAAAACAGTATTAGGTGGATGTGTTTCTGGAAATTTGCAATAAGCTTGTATGTAATTGTATATTATAGTAAAATACTATCTAGTTAGGACACAGTTATCCTGTCATAATAGAGTAAAACCTTGGTTTGCAAGCATAATTCTTTCCGGAAACATGCTTGTAATCCAAAGCACTTGTATATCAAAGCGAATATCGAGAACTATTGGCTCGGTTGTGATCATGTGGCTTTCAGCATCATGTACTACTCCCGTTGCAAGACATCACTCGTTTATCAAGTTAAAATTTGTTAGAAATGTTTGCTCGTCTTGCAGAACTCTCACAGAACAACTTACAATTCAAGGTTTTACTGTACTTATTTTTGTTCAAATTTAATCATGTGACAAAACGACTTTGAGGTGGTCCCTACTTGGGAAGGTTCTAAAGACAACCTTTGTGGGCAGGAAGCTGGTGGTTAGATAGAATCTTGACTTGTTGTGAAAGGCCTATAGGGAAGTGCTTAACTGGTGTTTTATCACCTGGATTTGACTGGAACAGAAGTCCTCTCTGGAGTGTGTGCTCTGCCCACACTTCACGCCATCACTCAACTCTTTGTTGTAGCTCAAGTTCACATTCCCCCACATCCTACGCTGAATAAAAGACTAAGACGAATAGTGATGGATGCAAAGAATTCAGGTAAAGGCAGAATTAAAAGAAGGAGACTAGATGGGGTGCCTGGCTGGCTCGGTTGGTAGAGCATCAAGAGCACTCTTGATCTCGTGGTTGTGAGTTTGGGCTCTACTTTGGCTACAGAGATTACCTGAAAAAGGAAAAGAAAGCAGAGGACTAGAAGCAGTTTGCTCAGGGTGCAGTCAGATTTCTAGAGATCTAAATGTTTGGAAGAGGTAGCTATTACTCTCCTTGCTTATAAGTTTAGTTCATAATATCAAAATAAGTATACGCTCAGATCTACACTAGCAAACATTGCTCCTTCATGGTAATTTTGTGTATAGACATGTTTTTTTTTTTTTTCTTCTTTAACACTGTGAACTTATCATATGGAAGTCAAAAGTCTGATGGTGCGTGACTAGTCTTCCTCTCTTGTGGTTTCATTACAAGCTAGGTTTTTATCATTTTTGTTTTGTTTTGTTTTGAGAGAGAGAGTGTGTGTGTGCAGGTGCATGCACAAGTGGGGAAGGGGCAGAGAGAGAGGAGAGAGAATCCCAAGCAGGGTCCATGTTTAGTGTGGAGCTTGATGCGGGGCTCAATCTCACGACTGTGAGATCATAAGAGATCATAACCCTAGTTGAAAGCAAGAGTTGGTTCTTAACCGACTGAGCCATCCAGGTGTCCCTAGTTTTTTCCGTACCCTCACAAATCTTCTCGTTCTTGTTCTCTATACCAAAGTTCCCACGTTGGGGGAGTATCACAGTAAAATTAAGCTGGTGTCTCCAAAAATGAAATCGATCTGGGATACCTGGGTGGTGAAGTTGGTTATGCGTCTGACTCTTGATTTTGGCTCAGGCCAATGTCTCACTCTTTGTGAGACTGAGCCATGAGTCAGGTTCTGTGCTGACATCCTGACATCATGGAGCCTGCTTGGGATTCTCTCTCTCTCTCTCTCTCTCTCTCTCTCTGTCTTTTCCCCTCCCTACCTTGTGGGTGTGCGGGAACACATGTGTGCTCTCTCTCTCTCTCT